TTGACACATTTATTTAATTAAACATTTAATTCATTATTGACACATTTATTTATTTAATGCTGTATTTATTTATTTAATTTTGGCACTTTTTATCCTCCATACTTGAGTTCAGGTTTGCCTTTCTAACCCATAGAAGCTCCAGAAAAAGAACCATTTTATTTTTCAAACGATCAGCCACCAAAGAAAACACCACCCCCATCCAGAGAGGATGTGCAGAACAACTCAGTGATCCAGGATTCATAGAGAACTTCAAGGGATTTGATCATTTCTTACCTTATTAATCTATCCTTATTTTGGTCCATTGAATATGTTAACTTAATTTCCAGCACATTTTCCAAATTAAACATCAAGAGAAGTGCTGTATTGTGTCATGGTGAGTTTTTATAAAACCTACAGCTTCCTAGAGGTTCTGAATTGTTTAGCTGTTTTGTCAATTGTAAGAAAATCTAATAAATTAATGAATGAAGCTTTTTAATCCTTAGCCTATTACCAAATAATCATAAACAGTGAAGTTTGCATAGTAATCGATTGCACTGGTTCCTGTATTAATGCCAGATTCTATTGGTTATTTTACTTAAACTGCAGAGAATAATTAATAAACAAAGTTGTTTACAGTATATTTAAGATGAGAGTATTTTAGTAGGGCCCATTCTGCTTTACTTAACTTCTCTAAAAATCACCAGATTATGGAGAAAATAATGGATATTATGAGAAAAATGTTCCACATAACTTCAGATCACTTGTTGTTATTCAGTAACATTAAATCTGCTATAAAAATCCCACATTCTGACACTTTGCTTCAGTTAAATCCTCTGAAAACCTCCAACCTATAGCTGCTCCTGCCCTCAGAGCCTTTTGATCGAACCCTGACAGTCTAAACTATTTCAAAATCTCACCCCAAGGTTTGCTGAAGAGTTGGCAGCCCTGTATTCGTGACATTTGAATTGAAAAAGCTTCCTGGATGGGAAGAGAAATGTCTTCAAACTTGGAAACAACGTCCACCGGATTGCTTTTTTTACTTTTCTTTGGAATGACTCTGACCTGGATGAATGAGAATCTTCCCCAGTGTGGTTTGGACCCAGTCCCTCTCTGATTGGACCAAACTCACATCAAAGGGCCACCATGGTCCACCCACCAGCTCATCTTTTAAAGTCATTCATTATTTATCCAGTAATTACACCTTATATTAAACTGTGATGATCAACAATTGAAAGAGTGTTCATTCATATTTCTATAAATGATGCTCAATATTAGCAGACAAGATGACGTCATGCCTGCAGGTGTTGCATTTACCACTGCAGCTAATTTAAAGAGGGTTGCTCTCCCTGCAGACAGTCCACTGGAGCAGCCATGACCCTGGCTGCCCGGAGCCGCAGTAGCATCCTCGGACGCCCGCTGCTTTACCTCCTGTGCTTCATTAACTGTGGATGAAAAACAGCCTTTTTTCCCCAACAAGAGGAATTACATAACAGCGACATGACTGGCTCTGATGCTGACACGCGGCTTCAATGTCACAGAATGAACGACGCCGCCATGTTCAGCCTGAATGGAAAGCTAATATCAAGCTAATTATTTATAGCGGCTAATGCTTTGGCTAACCTTAGCCAAGCTTAAACGGTGTCGGGAAGCGCGGCAAACTCACAGCTGAGTTTACTTACCTTAGGGTGGAAGTCCGGGGTTTAAAATGTCATCTCCAAGAAGTGTTTACTTCCGTTAGGTGAAGAGCTTTAACCGCAGATGACCAGAAAGAGGAGGCGACAGCTCCGAGTGGAGGGAGCGCTTCCTAACATCCTCTAGTGAATGACGGCGGGGGGCGGGGCTTGGGGAATTCTATCGCTCCGAACGCCGAGCCGCTAACCGGCGGTGCACAGCTTGCAAAACGAACGCACAACACAACAGTAGTTTAGTGAAATTAACAGCCGCCTCCTAAAGGAAATCACCTGTTTCACTTTATTTAAATGAGTAACATGCAGAGACTATGGAAGAGGAATAGTTTCACTGAAAAAATAAAAACGGTTAACTGATTTTTACATTTTATTTCAGTATAATATGAGGAAAAGTCAGAATTCTGACTTTTTTCTTAGAATTCTGGCTTATAATAATATTATTAATATATATAGGCCGATATAAAAATAAACAGGACTGCTCAGTGACACGGTGGGTAGCACTGCTGCCTTGCAGCAAGAAGGTTCTGGTTTCGATTCCCGATCCTGGGTCATTCTGCATGAAGTTTGCATGTTCTCGCTGAGCATGCGAGGGTTCTCTCTGGGTACTCCGGCTTCCCCCTGCAGTCCCAAATTAGCTTCTCTAAATTCTCCTTAGGTGTGAGTGTGCATATCTCCAGCTGTCTGTGTTGTAGACAGCTGGAGATAGGCACCAGCACCCCTCACAATATTATTATTACATTGTTATGGTATTACATCTAACATGTCTGGTAATGCATATATATATATATATATATATATATATATATATA